TTCGAAGCTACAGTAAAATTTGTTGAGATTGTCTGAATGTACCTGAATTTCATCTTTGTTTACAGGCATGCACATGCCCAACAAGATTATTTTTTTGTGTTCAATATAATGTTGTGCATCTTGAATCAGATAATATGTTCGCCTATTAATTAATTCCGTGTTTACAAGGTATAACTCTACATAAGAAAGAGTATATGTGATACTTCTCACTCAACATAGGCTTCGTTTCTTAAAATTTTCGTGTTGTTTGTAAATCTATTTCTCCATCAACATTGCGTTGTTTGTTATAGAGTTAACATCATCGATCTATTAGCGTTGTTTTATTGGATGAATATTTCAACAGCCTTTTCATATAATTTTTACAGATTTATCTTAGGAATAACAAGCTCTCTGCTAGATATATATGTATTTGACATAGAATAATGAGTTCCACTTTTTTGTTTAGATTTTGAAGATACGGAGAATTTAACAGGGCGACACAAGCATATATACTGTTAGAGAATATTATATTATAATAACTCTTGTAATATTAGGATTCTAGTATGATTGAGTTACCTAGATTAGTTAGGATTTAGTTACCTAGTCAAACTCTATTATCTTGCAATATTTCTCTATATATATTCCATGTAATCAACCCATAACCCAATGGGGGTTTCTATTCTACGTATTATTATTTCTCTCTTTCTCCTATTCTATTCTTCCTATATGGTATCAGAGCTCCAGGTTTAGGTTTTTTTAACCTAGCCGCCTTTCTTCTCCATGGCGGTGAAAACCTAGCCGTCTTTCTTCTCCATGGCGGTAACCACCCAATTTTCTCCCTCCCCCGGTGGTGGTACTCTAATTTTTTTTCTTTTTCTATCTTTTTCTATGAACACCACCCGAATTTTCTCCCTCCCCCGGTGGTGCATCTTCTCTATCTTTTTCTTCTTCTTCTTCTCCATGGCCTAAAACCTAGCCACTGCCTCTCTTCTTCTCCATGGCCGGCGACCCCTCTCTCATCTCTTTTCTCTATCTCGATTAAAAGAAATTATCTTGCAATATTTCTCTATATATATTCCATGTAATCAACCCATAACCCAATGGGGGTTTCTATTCTACGTATTATTATTTCTCTCTTTCTCCTATTCTATTCTTCCTATATATACACATATATCGATAAACTTTTGCAAGTTGTTTTTAATTTTTATAATTGATTAGTAGTTTGATTGGCCGGGGAAATTGTAAATTTGTGTGTTTGAAAAAAAAATGTAATCCCCTCACTTTATTGTTGCATATCATGGAATGCATTTTCTTGGTCCAGTTGCATCATCAAATCATACAGGTCCCAACACTTTGGTAAGTTGGTTGTGTGACTCTTGATTCTTAATACAATTTTTTTTTTCTTTTGATGTTGAAATTTTGTTATTTTAAAGGGTTCTTTTTATAGTATACAATCTATATTAATATGTCTTAACCTCACTTTGTACCCTTGAAATGTAGTCTTTTTGCACTTTCTTCCCGAAAAATTTTAATAGTACTTTACAGAATTGAACCATAATAAATCATTCACAAAGCACCCCGTAATTATTTTTTACAAGTTATGAGTGATTTTTCATCTCTTTGGTGATTTTGTTTAGGCGGAATATACTAAAATATTATTTTAATTTCAAGTGAAAAACGCAAAAAAATAAAATAAACTGTCTCCTTAAACTATATTTTCTCACAAAAAGAAAGAAAGAATTCTCATAAACTTTTATCACCAAACAATTCAATTGTAGGATATTTATTGCAGTTGGTGAAAATATTTGGTGAATTTTTTATATAAAAAAATATTAATTTTCAGTAATTTTTCAGAAAATGGCGAACGGGAAACTAAAAATTTTAAGGTGATGCATCTTTGCTCCGCAATGATAAATATATTAAAATATTTAAAAAATACCCTGATTGAGTACACCCCATGTTGGTTTTCCTTTCTTAAGTGAACGGGAATATTTTTTTCTTTTGAGTATTATTTCTTTTCATGGTGTAAAATACGAGTAACGTTTAAGATATATCTATCACAGGATAAGTGGAAAAATATAATTTCTCATATAAAAGAAACACTACGAATATATTTTTACCAGTTTCGGTAAAAGACAAATAATTTGGTGCCAAAATATTTGTAACATCAATTTTTTTGTGGGAAAATAAAAGTTTCAAGTTTCAACGAGATATTTTACAATTTTTTGCACTTTTTTTTAACAGAAAAATAAGAAAATATTATTACTTCAAGATGACATATATCTATGAAATTTTTGGGTTGAAATTTTTGGGTTGATAGATTGAGTAAAATAAAAAAATTAATTTGACAATTTGCATCTTTCTAGAAGTACAACTAAAAATATGAAATTCACCTCAATATTTTTTTTAAAATTGATACGAGGTGAATTGTGAATGATTTATTGTACTTTGATGGTGCATATTCTATTGATTTTTTTCAAGGATACAAAGTGCCAAAATGCAATAAGAGATGCAACGTGGAATTAAGCCCTATTAATATATAGATTAAATACAGTTTGCACCCTTAAAGTATAGGGTTTATTAGGGAAAACCCCCTTGTTCATATTTTCTAATGAGGTAGATCCAATTTTTTTTCCCCTTTTTGAGATACACCCAATTTTGCCGACTTGGCAATATATATTATATAATTTCCCTTTAATACCCCTGTTTTATTATTAAACGGCATTTATTACCTTTAATACGTGATTTGAGATTTGCTGATACGCTGCCTAAAATCACGGAATAAATTTACGTGAGATCATTGGCCGTTATATCAAATCGTGTACAATATTTTTTGAAGATTCTCTTCATCGTTCCAGCGGGTTTTATCGTCTTTGAAGATTTCTGCACCGTCGTGGAAATAGGATCGATTTTTGAGCGTTTGATGTTGGACGTTGTTTAAGCGGGTATGAATGCGTTATTCGTTTTTATTTTTCGCTCAATGTCCATGATTGTCGTGTACGGTGGTTAGAAATTTTTAAGAGTTGTGTTGATATTTGATTCTATTAAGTAGAACGTTTCTTAACAAAATTATTCCGTCATATATATATCGTTTTTTTTGGCCGATGATGTTTGTTTGGAAGAGGATTGACAGAGTTAGAAGATGATGGTTCACGTATATCGGACCAGAGTTGTTTTATATGAACATCGTAGTTGGTTTATGCAATAATTGAAATAACTGTCCGCTGTGGTTGAGTTCATGAGTTAGATCCCGTTCGATAGTTGGTTTATTTGTGTATAACAGCATATTTTAGGGTGCTGGGTAGTATATTAAATTATATTTCGTAGTCTTTTTTAATTTAGCGTATGGATTTTGCATTTTGAGTTTATTGTTGATCATATTAATATATTTTTTAGTATTCTGCATTTTTAATATCGTATCATGATTCAAGGTATTTTCGATGGCGAATTTTGTACGGATTTTGTTGAGATTTGGTGGTTTGGTTGCTATAAAGAGGTGTTCGAATGGGTTTACTCGCGGCTCATTGGTTGCATTTGTTATTTCAAAGTGGCCACAACTCGATGGGTGGGATACAAGCATGACATATAGGCTGGAAGGCATTGTCCGCTGTGGTCGAGTTCATGTTTTTGATCCCGATCGATAGTTGGTTTATTTGTTTATAACAGCCGATTTATGTGCGCTGGGTAGTACATTAAAATATAGTTCGTAGTCTTTTTTAATTTAGCGTATGAATTTTGCATTTTAAGTTTGGTTTTTATGATATTAATGTATTATCATTCAAATGTATTTGCAGTCTATTTAATCATTTTTTAGTATTCTGCATTTTTAATTTTGTTTCATGATTTTAGGTTTTTTCGATGGCGAATTTCGTACGGATTTTGTTGAGGTTTGGAGGGTTGGTTGCTATAAAGAGGTGTTTACGATGTAATGGCTCGGTAACTTCGGTTAAGTGTTAAACCGTTGTAATACAGTAGTATACTATTATGAATACCGTATGATACTACCATTATCATTTTATTATACTATTATGAGATTATTAATGTACTAGAGTTTTAACTCGCCACATTGGTTTGATTATGTTATGATGTGTTTTATGTATTTTATCAAAACCCTAGATTGAAATTATGAGATTATTAATGTACTATTTTATTGGTTATGTTGGAATACTTTACGTTGGTGTTGTTCTCAATGTTCTTGTCATTTCAGTGGTATATTGTTTGTAACACAATTCATATCACTACTATAACCGTAATATACTATCATATCAGATTAATGTACTATATTGAAATTATTAATATACTATGTGGTTGAATAATACGGGATCCATAGTCGATGAACGAGATCCATAGTCGAATTAGATCAATAAGATAGTCTATTACATGATATAAGGAAAATTACCCTAATTGATTAGTATTTCAAAAAAACATATTATTCAGTTTCCATATATATTATTATTTTTTCATATATATTATTATTTACCTTAATCGTTTTCATATAATAAGGAAAATTACCCTAATTGTTATTTTTCCAATAGTCAATTAACTAAACCCATAGTCGAATTAGATACATGGGATAGTCTATTAAAAGATATGAGATAGTCTATTAATTTTAAAACACAAATCCTGCCGCCGTCACTTCTCAAATCTAGGGTTTTGATGATTCTTCGGCCCATAGTCGATTAACGAGATCCATAGTAAAATTATACCAGTGGGATAGTCTATTAAATGATATGGGATAGTATATTAATACAGATGTAATTCGACTATGCATCTCGTTAATCAACTATGGGCCGAAGAATTATCAAAACCCTAGATTTGAGTAATCCTAGATTTGAGTAACCTTAGATTGGAGCAGTGACGGCGACGGCGGCGGCCAACGACGATATCACTTCTGGTGGATGTCCTGCCCATCAATTGTTGCAATATCACTGATTTAGTGCTCGAATTCGGTATGCGATTATAACAGATCTGCAATTACACAAACGTGATAGTCGATTTAGCCAAAACATATCAACAAATCGATGGACGATAGCGATGCAACGAGCGGCGAAGACGTACCTATGGCGGCTTGCTCGGAGTGCACGAAAACCGTCGTTTCACGGCAGTGCAGACGTCTTCCGCGTTCAATCGGCCGTACCGGGAAGTTGTTCTGGGAGGTTTTGCAGTTTATTCGATAGTGGGTTTGGGATGATAGTGATTTAACGGGAAAATAGGATGGGATTTGATTTTATTTCAAAAGGTAAAGTAACGGGTTTTGTGGGATTTGATTGAGGGTAATTATGTAATTAGGAAAAGTTTGGGCTGTTATCAAAATGGCAAATATAAATTTGGGTCTACCCCTATTATTTGAATGTTTAAGGGGGTTATATCTAATAGACCCTAAAGTATAAGGGTATTAACACCCTTTAATGTTACAAATATTACACTTACCCTCTCCATTAGTGAATTTAATGCTAATACTTTAACTTTGAATGATATGTCATTTTTCTTCCCAAAATATCTTCTAGCCATTATAAAAAAGATAAATATGGAATAATAGTTTTCAACAATCTTTTAAAAAAAACAAATTTAATTATGTAATAAAAAAATTATTAAAAATATTATTTTGATTTATGATGTACCTCCGCATTTTAATTACTGTGTGACTCTAATATAAATAAAAATCTCAATTAATTTTCTGAAAAGTAATAAAATTTGTTAAACATTCATGAGAAAAATAATAATTAATATGTTAGAGTAATACATTATTTAATATAACAAGATCAATTATAAAATTAAAATTAAATTTCGAGTAATTACTAAACTTTCTTTAAATAAGAATGAACATAAAGTAAAAAAAATGAAACCAAAATTCATTCTTTTTCGTTCGTAAAATTATATATTGAAATAATAAAATTGAGATATATCTTGAAAGGGTGTTTAAAAAAATTATTGCTGCATATTCATTATTTATATAATGATTTGAAGGGTATTATTTATGGAATAAAAATTCCGCATTATCAAAGTCAAAGTCTATCAAATTCATTATGGAGGTAGTAGGTGTTACATGTGTAACTTTAAGGGAGTAAGTGTTACTAGCCCTATACTTTAGGGGTGCAAACTGTATTTAACCGTAATATGTATCAAGTTGAATGATTTGTTAATATATGATTGAAATATATATTTAGATTATTATTTATTATGTTTTGCCATATCTGAATGGAATCAATTCCTATTTTCGATAATCATTGTTTAAGTATGTAAATTAATTATAATATACTAATATGTAAATTTAACATATTATTTATTGTGTTAGTATTATATTATTATCATTATATACTTAACTATAATTATAAGTATTAATAATAGGATTATATTAGTATATATATTAGTATTAGTATTAGTATTAGTATTAATATTAGCATTCTAATTAGTATTAGCATTAATATTAGTATTATATTATATTATTATATTATTATATCATATTATTATCAGTATAACTATAAGTATAAGAATTAGTATTAGTATTACTATTAGTATTATGATTAGCATTAGTATTATTATTAGCATTAGCATTAATATAAGTATTACTATTAATATTAATATTAGTATCGGTATCGTCTTGGCATTGGTATCGGTATCGGTGTCGGCATCGCTATCGGTATCGGTATCGTTATCGGTATCGTTATGCGTATCGGTATCGATATTCGTATTTGTATTGGTATTATTATTAGTATTAAAGGAAACATGGACAATTATACGTCTCAATGTCGAGAGTTAAGAGTAGAGGTGGCATAAAGATATTCATCAACTCGGAATCGAGCGATTAACATTACTAGCACTTTTGACTAAAATAAATTTTCAGCGAATATAATGTTATATCACGAAATTGTATATTCTGATTCGATAACATATTTATCTTTTGTATTATTTATATGAACAATTATTTTGCAGTGTTAGGTTTATTTGCACTTTAAGCTAATCTTATTGTCGAATCCAATGAAGTTATTTTCTATCATGGTACTTTCATTTAAATTTTGTATATTTCTTACACTTTTAGGTGATTTATGTTTCAGTGATGCGTGTCAGTGATTGTATATGAGTAATGAAAAATGTGCACGTTACTCCCAAAGATGAGTTACGGAGATATTAATGCTTGTGCTATAAAACACCACTTTGATAACTAAGTCTCATGTTAAGGATCCGAGTGCATTGAATGAGATAGTTGTACCATTGAGGACAAATGAAGTATTTTATTTTGTATATCACAATTTTTGTATTTTGTATTTTCTTATCATTTATTTTGTTTAATTTGGTACTCAAATCAATGGAATGGATTTTTTTAAAGTTTTTGGAATGTAGCGTATTATAATATCAACTATATATTCAAAGTTTACGTTCGAATATTTTATGTAAAATGCATTTTTATTTTTTAAATTGCCCCGTGCATTGCATGCAGTGGTGAAATAATAGAAAATATCATATAAATATTTCATATAGTTATTTGCAGTGTTCTAAAAATCAGTCGAGGCGGTTGATACTCTGTCTCTGAGGCAGAGGTGGACCCAAACCTTTACGATTTTTGTGTAAATGTTTGAAAATTGAGTTTTGGCCTGTGAGGCGTTTCTAGGCGGTCCTAGGCGGCGGGTTGAGGAGGTTTGAGGCGGGTTGACGCGATCTGAGGCAGTCAAACTTTGGAGGTGGGTCAAACTTTAGTGCCAAAAATTGAACAAAAACCGTTTTCTTTTTCTTAACTTTTTTATTTCAAAATATAAGTTGGGCTTTTAATAAAAAAAATGAGTTCATGCTTTATTTTGTTTATGTTAATTGTTATTGTCAAAGAACTTAATGATATATGCTTGCAATGTTCAAGAGTAAATTTAAATTCAAAAGATTTGCGTTTCATTTGTATTTTATAAGGTTTTGTTTATTCTATTATGATCTTATTATTAAATTTTTATTATGTTATTAGGATATGTAAATAATAGGGATATAACCATGTTTAAATATTTTTTTATATATGTTTTGAGAATTTATAAATAATATATAGAAATGTATTATATTAAATTTTAAAAATCAATTTATTTGCCATTTATCGCCGATTAATCACCGATGCACCGATTAATCGTGAGGCGGTGCCTAACCTTCTCCAACCTGATTTCCGTTTCTTACAACCTTGGTTATTCGATACTAGGTTAGCTCAGTATTCTTGTGATTTAAATGATGTATTGTCTATTTGTATATGACACTTTTATTATTTCCATATTTTTTTATCACTTATTTTTGTAATTCATTATTTATACCAAACGAAATATTCGTTTTGTTTAATTTGTATTTCGTATTTCATTTCGATGTTTACCGTTTTTAATTTGTGTACCTTTTCTAAAAAGAAATTATTCAGTAAATATATCTCCGTGCATCGCACGGGTGAATTACTAGTATAAATTTACATAACGAAATTCATTTGGGGGTAAATTGACGAGATTTTTTTTTTCTTTTTTTTTTTTATCAAATTTAAGCTCAATATTACCCGATGAGAAAATCGATAATTGTCTGGCCGATTGCCTTGCTATCACATTGAAAGATTCCGCACGCAAAGGTCGTTTGTTCAAAGCCTTAAGTATCTTTTCTCTTATCCAAAGTCATGCCTTGGCTTCCTCTGCTTATCCCGTTTTCGTTGTAGACTCGTTATCCTCTCTGTTATTGTCTTGTGCGAATCTCGAGTCGCTTCCACTAGGCAAACAGCTTCATGCCCAAGTTATTACATGGGGTCTTCACAAAAGCCATGCATTGGTTCCAAAGCTAGTGTCTTTTTACGCAACGTTTGGTTTTATCAACGAAGCTCATTTTATAGCTGCAGATTCGAACATTCTACACCCTTTGCCTTGGAATGTTCTTATTTCGTCGTACGTGAGTGAAGGGCGTTACGATGAAGCTATCTTTGCCTACAAAGAAATGGGTCATAAACGGGTCGTACCCGATCGTTTCACTTACCCGTCTGTTCTCAAGGCTTGTGCAGAACAATCAAATCTTGAATTCGGTAGAGAAGTTCATGAGTTGATCAATGCTACTAGCTCTTTGAAACGAGACTTGTTTGTGCAGAATGCGTTGGTTTCTATGTATGGGAAATGTGGGGATCTTGAAACTGCACGAAGCATCTTCGAAGAAATACCGGATAAGGACGAATTTTCTTGGAACTCGATTATTTCTCTATATGCCTCGAGGGGTATGTGGGACCAGGCTTTCGAACTTTTCGAAAGCATGAGAGTGGTCGATATGAAATTAAATATTATAACTTGGAATACTATTGCAGGAGGTTGTTTGAGAATAGGCAACTTCGCATGGGCTCTTAAATTGATGCGTCAGATGAGGACAGGTGGCGTTCGGTATGCCTTTTTTTTAGTTTTCTAGCTTGCGTAACGTTGCTTCTCGGATTTATGTAGAATTTTATTGATATTAATTCGGAAAAATAAAATGGACATACTTGTTTATATTAAATTTCTCTTTTCCCTCTCCCTTTTTTCTTCTATTTTTATCTTGTTTTTTTTTTTTTTTTTTTTAAACCCATGAATATTTACAGGTGCAGGTAATTCATCACTATGGAAACAAAGGGCATAAACCGAGAGAGCAAAACTCCTTTGCTTATGATATCCCACGGGGAATCGGTGGAAAAACATTTAATTTACAATCCATCTGAGAAATCGGTTCGCATGTTAAACAACGTTTCGGTCTTGAACGGCAAGAAGGTACTCGGTTCTTTGTATGGATGGTTAGTTTTAGTGAAACCCGCTGATGTTGATGGTGATTGTTGTCTTTTCAATCCAATAACCGAGGAAAAAATCGAGCTCCCAAAACTCGATGACTCGCTCACTTACAATCAATGTATTTTGACCAAACCCCCCACTGAACCTGATTGTTACATTTTGTTCAATGGATTGGAACAATCTTTTTGCCGGATTGGAGACGAAGAATACGTGACACGGACATTAGAACAACAAGAAGTAGAAGAACAAGAAAATGGTCGTGTTGGTTTTGACGATCTTCGGACGATTGCATCTTTTCAAGGTACTACTTACGGCTTCATGGATCCCGATAAAATTGTTACCATTCATTTCGTGGGGAATACTATCGAGTTTAGGCAGATACCAATGGTGGAGCCTTCGGTCATTCCTCATTCGTCAAGAGCATATGACATATGGTTGATTGAGTCTTGTGATGGTGAGCTCTTGGTAGTTCAAAGAGTACATCCTTTCACAAAGAATTGTTATGATGGGATGGACTCTACAGTTTTCCGGTTCGATACAAATCGAATGAGTTACGCTGAGATAGAAAATATAGGGAATCGAACAATTTTTCTCAGTGGAAATGGTGCTGGATATTGTTGTGCTTCTCAAGAAACAAAACCAAATTCGATTTACTAGAAGACGACAGAAATTTCAACAGGAATCAGGACAGAAATCTCCATGTATTTGATTTGGAAAATAGGAGCACATACTCGATGTTGCCATCCTCTAAAGTTGCAACCAACAAGTTAATAACAACCTGTTGGGTGCAACCCATAATATTCCGTAGTCCTTAATATTTTCATTGGATTGGCTCAATTAGGCTTATCATTAATCCCCCATTCTCGAGTTAATGATATGCCTAATTGGGCCAACCCAATGGGCCTACAATTTCTTTACCTAATTGGCCTCAAACCCAATATTTACGACCACTATCACCGAGGCCCAATCACCTTCAAGTAAGTTTTGGGCCCGACAATCTCAACTAAGCTATAAATAAAGGTTTGAACTCATTCCTTAAGGTACGTCCTATTATCAGAGCTATACTTCAATATGTATTCTCTGGATTATTTCTACTATCCGCACGGCTGACTTGAGCGTCGTAGGGATTTCCGCCGGATCAACCCCCGGCCTAGTTCACGTGTTCTATGATCGCAGGTATCTCAAGGTTATCAAGCCCGTGAGCCAGTGATCCACTCTGCTCTTCCATCTCATCCTACTTCAACTATCTAAGGTGATCTAACTTTAGCATCATCATTTTGGCGCCGTCTGTGGAAAGGCAAACAAGTTCATGTAGCACGCAAGATGGCCTTGAGACTTCTGCTCGGGGAAGTGTGACACTGCTAATAACCTCCCACCTTGTGGAGGCTCTGGCTTGTCACTTCATCCTCCCCATGCTCGGGATCCACCACGAGATCCTCCTCGTGATGTCCCACTAGATCCTCAACAGGATCCACTTATTCCCGCCCCTCGATCGGTTCAGACAATCGAGGAGGCCCTTCAACGCTAGCAAGGGTTATCGACTCCCTGGGGGTTTACAGTGCCCCCAAAACATTTCGTTCGCCAAGGGTTATCGACTCCCAGGGAGCTTACCTCTGCTCCCAAAATATTTTGTTCGCCAAGGTATATCGACTCCGTGGGGGTTTACAGTGCCCCCAAAACATTTCGTTCGCCAAGGGTTATCGACTCCCTGGGGGTTTATAGTGCCCCCAAAATGTTTCGTTCGCCAAGGGTTATCGACTCCCTGAGGGTTTATAGTGCCCCAAAAACATTTCGCTCGCCAAGGGTTATCGACTCCCTGGGGGCTTACCTCTGCCCCCAAAGTATTTCGTTCGCCAAGGGTTATCGACTCCCTGGAGGCTTACCTCTGCCCCCAAAATATTTCGTTCGCCAAAGGTTATTGACTCCCTGGGGGCTTACTTCTGCCCCCAAAATATTTGTTCGCCAAAGGTTATCGACTCCCTGGGGGTTTACAGAGCCCCCAAGACATTTCGTTCGCCAAGGGTTATCGACTCCCTGGGGCCTACCTCCGCCCTCCCTCGAACAGTTCAGATAACCGAAGAGGACCTTCAGCGTATGGTCGTCGAAGCTTCAACAAGATCAACTTCTACTTGCTCCTCTAACGGTTCAGATAACCGATGAGGACCTTCAGGGTATGATCGCAGAAGCTTCAACAAAATCAACTTCTACTTGCTCCTCTAACGGTTCAGATAACCGATGAGGTCCTTCAGCATATGATCGCAGAAGCTTCAACAAAATCAACTTCTACTTGCTCCTTTAACGGTTCAGATAACCGATGAGGACCTTCTGAGTATGATCGCAGAAGCTTCAACAAAATCAACTTCTACTTGCTCCTCTAACGGTTCAGATAACCGATGAGGACCTTCAGCGTACGATCGCGGAAGCTTCAACTCGGGTCACTGAAGCAGTGGCACCATACATCATCCCAAAGGAAGCAAATGCTCCCATCGCGAGGCCCTACTTGGTCCTCAACATGATCAACTTCTCCTTACTTCTCGAACGGTTCAGATAACCGAAGGGGACCTTAAGCGTATGATCGCAGAAAATTCAACTCATGCTGCCACTGAAGTAGTGACACCATACATCGCCATAGCAGGAGTCAACGCCCCTCATGCGGCTACAGCCGTAACACAACCACCACTATAAGGTAACGCCCACCAAGCGAGTGTGTCGTGGGCATCTACTTCGAACCTTCAATTCCGAATACCATAACTTAGCCGTCACGGAGAATGGCAAACTGTGCAACATCGCCGAGAAGCGCAAACTGCGCAACATCGCCCATGTTCACCTCGGAGAGCCAACGCCTCTCCCTTACGAGCTCCTCATTCCAATGATGTCAAAGACACTTGGAGTTCTTCAAAACCATAACAGGGTTCGTGATCGCCTCACCTATGATGGGGGCTATCCCACCTCAAGGTTTGGCATCTCATCCAAATGGTTGGACATCTCGTCACAAGGGTGGTACATCATCCCTACCTTTGAACTCCAACAATTTCACATCTCATCTCAAGAGTTGGGTATGGTCTCTCTACTCCAAGGATAAACATCCTCAACCTCGCGCCCCTAGCGACGAGCGCGCGATCTGCATCCACATTCGCATCCGCGGATGCGCTCCGCATCCACGCGTTCCACATTTGCATCCACATTCGCATTCGCGGATGCGCTCTGCATCCGCGCGCTCCACATCCGCATCCGCGCATGCGTTCCAAATCTGCGCTCTCCCTAGAAACACTTAGAGATATTATGGGAATTTATATAGCCTGGCCAGCTAGATTATTCAAATGCATCTACTTGTTTTCGACGGGTCCTCCATTAAAAAAAAATCTTGAGAGCCTGATCCCCTCCTCAAGTACATCACGCATACCATTGGTTGGACATCCCATCTTAAGGGTGATACACCCTCTTACATTCTACCCAAAAGAGTTAGACATTCCATCCTAAGAGTTGTGTATCATCTCTCTACCCCAAAGATAAGAAATCTCCAAATGGGGTGGATATCAACAAGCTCAAAAAAAAAAAAAAAAAAAAATCGGGCCGATTCCCGAGGCGCGCACGGACACCCTTCCCGAGGAAAAAAACAATAAATTCGGGCACGATTCCCAAGGCAAAAAAAATCACGGCACACTTCCCAGGGCGCGCGCCCGGCACGTTTCCCGAGGCGCGCGGACCACATTTCTCGAGGCGCGCACTAGCACGTTTCCCGAGGCGCATACGGGCATGCTTCCCGAGACGCACACGGGCACGCTTCCCGAGGCGCGCGCCCGGTACGTTTCTCGAGGCGCGCACGTGCACGCTTCCCGATGAAAGAATAAAAAAAGGAAGATGCGCGCGTGGCGTACACGCGCCAGACGCGTACGCGCGTCACCAAAAAAAAAAAAAAAAACCGAAACTGCTGCACAGCTGGAGCGCAATCTAATAGTGTTCGCTTTCCAAACGGATAAATAAAAATTATTATTTCTCCACACCACGCCACCAATTAACAGTACACCACAACACCAATCTACTCTCGACACGATCTAGTATCCTTTTCGACTTGGCTCCTACATCGAATCGAGAGTGGGGGGCTTCCGAGACAACTCCCACGAGGAACAAACTCGCTCAGTCCTACAAACCCGTTGCGAGGCAACTCCCACGAGGAGCCAACTCCCTCGGTACTACTACTCGCAGCGGAACAACTCCTACGAGGAGCAAACTCGCTCGGTCCTACAAATCCGTTGCGGGGCAACTCCCACGAGGAGCCAACTCCCTCGGTACTACTACTCGAAGTGGAACAACTCCCACGAGGAGATAACCCGCTCGGTCCTACAACCCCTTGCGAGACAACTCCCACAAGGAACCAACTCCCTCGGTACTACGAACCCGCCGCGAGACAACTCCCACGAGGAGATAACTCGCTCGGTCCTATAACCCATTGCGAGGCAACTCCCACGAGGAGCCAACTCCCTCGGGTCAACGAACCCACAGCGAGATAACTCCCACGAGGAGACCACTCGCTCTGTCCTACAACCCGTTGCGAGGCAACTCCCACGATGAGCCAACTCGTTCGGTACTAAAACCCGAAGCGAGACAACTCCCACGAGGAGCCAACTCGCTCGATACTTCGAACCCGCAGCGAGACAACTCCCATGAGGAGCCAACTCGCTCGGTACTACGAACCCGCGGAGAGAAAACTTCCACGAGGAGACGACTCGCTCGATTGCGAGACAACTCTCACGAGGAGACTCGTTCGATCCTACAACCCGTTGCGAGGCAACTCCCTCGGTTCTACAAACCCGTAACGAGACAAC